ACTCTTACCTGCCATCCTTATTCCTAATTAATATTTTACTTGTCATCAGGTCGGGGCGATGATTTGTGCACAGGGGTTCGCACAAAGTGTTCTTGTAGGGGTGAGAAGAAAGCGAAGAATTTCTTGGTACTAATAGGGCATTGTCTCTTCACGAAAATGGCCCAGAGGCTAGGAGTCACTACAACGGTCATTACACAAAATGCATCCTGGGGCACTTCTTTTATGATGGTCCGGGGTACCTGTTGATTGAGTTTTTGGCGCGGCTCTTGAGAATCTTGGGATGAAGTTAATCGTTTCTGATAAATGTTTATTTTAAATGAGGTGAGTGACCGGACAAGGTCTTCCTCTTCTGTTACTACTTGTCATTACGCTATCAACTTGTTTCTATTATTTTTATGACATCAACCTAATCATAGTTATAATGCTAATTCTATTATAAATGTGATACATTCAATTCCAAACATCTCATAACACTTTCTTATTTTGCTCTTTATACGTAACCGTGAACGATTCTCAGAAAGAATGAAAAAATTGATTTTGATAAAATATTGGAAAAGCAAACATAATAAACAATAACAACAATAATAAAAAAAAAGTATAAATTAAAAAAATAACTGTTATCTTATTTCGAAAGGGACAAAATATATGTATATAGAGTTTTCTCTTTTTTTTTTCCTTACACTCTATTCAATTATTCCCTTTTTTCAATGACTTTTTTAACCTTTTACGTCCTGAAAATTTAAAGGTTGTTCAACAAAATTCATAATAGAAGATAGATTTATTCTTGTGGGTAAACAAAAGTTGTGGGAGCAACAAAAGTTGCGATTACACATAAATAATGCGTAATAGAAATAACTCATTAAAGGGCAATCTTCGCACCAAATCCCCTCGATAGACCCTAAGAATAATTTAATTTTTACTCAACTTGAGAAAAGTATAATATACGTTAGCACTCTGTGTCGGATCGTGTGTTTTTTAGGAATATTAAAGTAAAATACCACATACACAATCAATAAACACAGAACGTATAGGGTTAAGAAATAAATTAAATAAAATTTAAATCAGCAAAGTAATGAGACGCAAAAAACAAATTTCCATTTCGTTATGTTACATTTTTTTCTCTCTTTTTGCATTTCTTTTTTATATTAAAGCGACTCTCATCATTTTTATTGAGTTGAGTGATATATTAACTTGTTAAAAAGGAAATACAGTTTTTATCAATAATTATTATTAGAAAGAAAAAGTGGTAGGGGGGAATTGGTAAAATGAAGTGAAGAGGACAACTTCAGGGTAATGTATGGATAACGGGTAGGATAATAGATCAAAAATAGCTGTATTTCTGTTCAAAAGATAAACAGGAAAATATATGCACAACAAGGAAGAAATCAAAAAAGTAACCGGAGCAAAAAAGAGAGAGGTAAGATAAGGTGGTTAGAAAAAAAAAGGAACAGAAGTGTTCATTATACCCCGGCCACTATCTAGTAATCTATTAACGTCTAATGATATTTTTTTTTTTGGCGTTGAGGTTATGTTCGCCTCCAATAAATCTTCATTAATTATTTTATTTTTGAAATATTCTTATGACAGTTAAAAGTTTTTTTTAACTTCATTTTCCAGCATATTTTTTTACATAAAATGATTTGCAAAATAAATTTCCTTCATCGTTATACTTACTTCATCATCATAATTTTTTTTTCTTGCTAATCAATAATTTTTTAAGTAATTTGAAGGAAGTTTAAGTAGGATATTAGAAGCAAATATTTATATACATATACACACTCAATACAGAATTTATAGGTTAGGAAATTAAATTTTTTTGTAATGAAATTTACTATACACTATTTGGGAATTTGAGGAACGGCTATACAGTTATTCGAATTTAAATGATATTTACTTTTACTTCCATGAATGAGAAGAAGGAAGGAGGAGCAGTCGGGAATTAATGACTTTTGAAATTTGGATTTTTCAAAAATATTAAAATATTTCACTTTTGCTTCTGGTTTTTTTTGGTTGATAGAACTATGATGAACTGACCTTTTATATAAAGGATGATTATTAGAATATTTTAATGTTCGCATACGAGGAGAAATAACACGGAAACAAAACTTTTTCTGGTTTTTGATTAAACCTAAATTATACTATATTGTGAATTTAATGGTATTCAAATGATTTTCAATAATATTTTATGCATTCTCATTCAAATGTAGATTTTTATTTATTTTTAGGTCACCATATTATTATATGGGCGAAGGAAATCCCAGAATTTTATATTCATTTTATTTTTGAATAACTTAAAATAGTGTACCCTAGATCTACATACTCGTATATACACGCAACATATTCAATTTTCTATTTCTATATAAAATTATTGGAAATATTGAATATTTTTTAAAAAATTTATTTGTGTATGTGAATAAATTTTTAACATTCTTGTTTTTTTTTGTAGCCTCTTGAATAATTAACACAAGGTGATTTATAAATTATATTATAAAAAAAAATATACACAGGAGATTATTAAAAATTTTTGTATGTGGCACAAGCAAAAAATTTTATATTTTTATATTATAATTTATGATTATTAATTTGAATTTTCGAAATTTACAGTTAGTTAAGAGATTTTTTTTATTATTAATTAAAATATTAAATTTATGCGAATTTCTTTCGATTTAACCCAAATTTTGGCAAATATTTTTTGTTATAGAAATATAAAAAATTGTTTGCAAAAAAAAAAAACATTCATGCAAACTTGTATAGTTGCCACAAGTATTTGAAATTGTCAGTAAAATTTGCTAAAATTTGGAGTAACTGAGCATATTTTTAATATTTTATTGCAATTTTTATACTATATTGAAGTATTTTTGGGTCCGAGAACACAATTAGGGGAAAAAAACAAAATCAATCAAAGATGGAGCCAATATTTAGTACATATCACAAATCAGATATGAATTTACAAAGGCAGTTGTTAATTTTTTAATATATTTCGGGATAGAATTAAGAGTGGCTTAAAAATTGAAGTATAATATACAAAAGATAAAGTATTTTACCCACCACAACGGCTGAACAGTTCGGAATCGGTACATTATAATATATTCTTGTTTTTAACTCGATTCAAGGCACCCCAATTACACTGCGCAATATTCTGTTCGCCATTCATGGCAAAATCTACACAATGATATTATGCCATAACAACTATCAAACCAAATTCACAGTTAAGCTGCTAAAAATTCGGACTAAATTTTGTTTTCGTGATTGATATTGATTCTTTAGCCTTAAGAACAGCAACTAAAATCTCTGAACTTATTCAAATTTATATCGTCGAATATATAGTCACAGCAATATTCTATAATGTAAATTCTCAATAATCTCCTTATACGAACAATAACAGACAGATTTCTCATCTAATGAACATAGAAAATTTAAAAAAAATTCTAAAATCTTAATTATTCTTATAAATTCTTAAGTTTTTTTAAATCTTAATAACATAACTTTATTCAAAATAAAATTCTACTCTCATAATACTATGTTGTTATTTGATACCATCAATATGAAATTCTTTAAATAATTTAAAATTACATTGGTTTTTACTTAACAATTTTAGAAAAAAAAAAACAAAAATTCTTGTCCTTCTTCTCGACAGGAAATTTTTCCTTTTAACAAAATTTAAACCCCAATCAATCATATTCCAATTTTACTACAGACTCTATAGATCTTTAAGCAGAGAGTGCAAGCGATTATGTAAAAAATGTGTCTATACCTTAGAAATAAACAGCGTCATGGTATTTTATATAATTTATAGTTCAGATAATTTATTTTAATTAAAATCAATATAATAATTTCAATGCAGTCTTCTGAACAAGTTTTCAATTCACTAGCAGCTCTGCTATGCCCGTATATATAGAATGTGAACTCGTTTTTTATCTATTGTGTAAGTCTATATAAAATATCTTCTGGTTCTATTAAGATTTAATCATGCAAAATATTTTCCTTTTTTTATCTTTTCAGTTTTTGCTTTTATTTTTTGCATAATATTCTAATTAATTTCATGTTTTACTCTATAATTTTAAATATACCAGCTATAGCAGTATGCAAGTGTAAAACTATACACAAGAATAATATAAAAAAAATTTTAATTACAATCACTTGAGATAATTAAAAAATAACAAGAGAACGTTTATTTTTTTTTTCATGTTTTAAAACACCTTTTAACAGATTTTTACTTTTATTGATTTATGAAAAAGGGTTACGGTAAAACCATAGACATAGATTTTTTTTAGAAAAATGTTATTCAAATTAAAATGTAATTGTAAAGGTTGTAAGAAAGTCAACATTTAATTAATTGTACCAGAACCGCCCATGGTTCGCCTTGGTTAAGAGTTGCCCAAATAATACTTCCAAGAATCCGATTTTACGAAATTCAGTTTCTTAGTCACAATTTCTCTTTCATAACTTCTCTTTAAGACGAATCTAGAAACTGAAGTCCGAATACAATTAAGGCGACAAATATCTAACCATCAATAATTATGCTACACTTCTCAAGAACTGACAAAGGCATTTCTGCAGAAAAGCAAAATGTGACATTAAGTACGAACATTGTGATCGGCCGAAAGTGATTATGAATTTACTTATAGTTACATTTCATGTATATACCTTGTGGATTCCTCAGGAATACATTGAAAATAGTGATGACTAGCTTATAATTAAGGGCACAAAAGCAGGAAAGCGTTATCTCCAAAAACTAACGTGCTAACTGAACTGTAATAATTTTAAAACAAAGTATGTTGCCTTAATTGAACATGATCAAAAAGCTCTTACTTGCAAAAATTTTAATAAAAATTCAACTTGCTTCCCAAATATGTTCGCCAAAAATGTTCGCCACTACTATTCCAAATATGCACTTTCGTTGTAATTTAATAAATATTTCAATTTTTAATTTAATATTAATTTTTTTTATATGCTTAACAAATTTTTAATTTATATTTTTTTTCTCAATTTATTTCTAGGGTATATGCCCAGGGAATCGTTTACGTGTTATAAATTCATATGATTCTGGTTGTTTTTCACCATCACCATCATCATCACCATGTCCGTCATCATTGGGTGCATCAACAGCAACGTTAAACAGTTCAATATTATCATCATCAGAAATATATGAGAATACATCATCGACAAATGGTAGTGCTGGTGGTGGTGGTGGCAGTGTTGGTGGTATTGGCATAAATGTTAATGGTATGCCAATAAATTCAACATTATTACAATATGATAAATTAAGTATGTTGAGTATGAATAGCATTAACAGTTGTAGTTTAAGTTTAAATGGCAGTAATAGCAGTTACAGTGGTTATAATAATAGTAATAATAGTAATCAAATCTATAATAATTATAATAATAACAGCAACAATAACAACAGTCAATTTAGTCAAAAATACTATCAAGGAAAACGAAGGTCATGGCATATTACACCTCATAAGGTAATTTTATAATTTTCTTAATATTTTAAAAATATATTTAAATTTTATTAAATTTTATTACATAAAAAAAATTTTTTTTTACTATTATCGTATTTTTTTTATTATTATTACCTGTTCTCTTTATGTTTAAAATTCTTTACAATACCAGTATTTTCAATTAACTTTTATGATAATGTGATGGTAGTAGTAAATTGTCTTGAAAAATAATATTAAAAAATAAAAACAGAAAAGAACAATGATTGTGCCTTGGGCCGTTTATTTTAACACGCCAACCAACTTTTTTAACACCTTTGAATCATTGAAATTGCAAAAATAAAGGGAAAAAAAGATTTTTTTAATTTGTCAAACCATCTGTTTTGAAAAATCATACATTTTTTCTTGGCATTTCCGAGTATATTATCCGAACTAGATTGCCTTTTATAGGTTTTAGATGAATTATATTGAACAAATTTTGTTATTATTCAGCTAAAATATGAAAAAATGTGAAGAATGTTTGCTGTTCTAATTATATAATATCGAAATTGTGATATGGATTGTAAATTAAAACATAAATTGTTGAAAGCAGACGTGTTTATACCGTAATTATAAAGTAACGCAAAAATATTCAATGACTAATTTCCTTAAAAAAGGTACAATATTGTACAATGTAATTGAATTTGTGGTTTTCGTAATGACTTTATATGCAAAACCGCTAATAAAACAAAATATTGAAATATTGTGCTGGTATGACCAAAAAAACTGCAATATTATCGTAATACATGGTATAAAAGTGTCGTGAAGGCAAGATTGTAAGAAGACAGTAAAAACTCGATTTATGTGTATAACAAATTATTCTTTATTTTTTTAATATGCCATGGAACATAGAGTTTCCTCCCAAAGCAATGTATCGAGTCATCATTTATGACAATTATGAGAAACTCATAAGAGTACTATAACAACAGTTAAATATAGACCAAAATGCTAATTTAGAATGATAATCGTCATAATGATTTCTCCGAATAAATTATTAAAACTTCGAATATCTTCTTATTAAGTTTAATGTTTACTTCAATTGTGTTAATATTACGTAAGCGTTTTAAAACCTTGTACAGATCACTATAAGGTTTCGCTGGACCCAATTATATCATACAACTACGAAGATAAACGAATTCACAAGTTTTAAGGTCAGTGTGAAAAAATGAGGCACGTAAAGAATTGCAACTCAAATTCATCATTGCAATTAAAATCACTCTTTGTTTCCCCTAACTGTTTGCCTGAGTCTTTTTGGTTTACATCAGACGTTTACATCAGTGATTATGAAAAACTCATCGGGGAACTCATTGGGGTCATAGACCAATTCTGCACGCAAAATTTTAAATTCATACTTTATCGGCAATTCAATGGGACATGGTCCAAAAAGTACATTTTAGCCAGTTGCTAGAAAGAAACAAATTTATTTCATAGTTAGTTCTTAATGCGGCAACACTGATAATGTGATTTATCATAGTGCCCATATGGCAAAGAAAAGAAATCAAGCAGCAGGTTTTTTAGTTTTTTTTTTTTTTTTTTTCTACCAATTTGTATGGCTGGTTGTTTTTTTTTGTTAAATTTTGGCGAATGAACTTTAAAATATGAGCTTTTTTTTATTATTTCTTCATTTTTTTTGTTTTGCCTTTCCAAAAAATGAAATGTTTTTGTTTGGTTTTCAAAAAAAGGCATAAAAAGAAATCAAGTAAAAAAAAAACCGGTCGATTTTTTGATAGTGTAGCGAGTTTTTTTTTGATTTTGTTTTATTTTTCAATATTTTAAAGTTTATTTACAGGCTTTTGTCTTATAAATCTTTCAAGTTTTTCATAATTTGCAATAATCTTATAACTGGTGATATACCAAAAAAAAAACCCCAATATAAACAACAACAAAAAGCTTAAAAAGCATTCTATAATTTTAAATATCGACGGCACCATATCGTGAATTGTATTTACTACTACTGCTGCTGCTGCTCTATTGTGATATTGGGAACACAATATAAGAATGATATCATCCCAAAGTTATCTCTCACCATTAAATTTCAGTTTTATGGGGAATTTCAAAGATATCTGGTAGTCGTCGTCGTCGTCAATATTTCTGATTTCCTTTTAATAAATTTTTTTGTTTTATTGTTTTTGGGATTGGTAAATTTAGATTTGTTGGTTTCTTATTATTAAAATCACGAATTTAAATGATTGTACCGAAAAAAAAAACAAGAACATAAAAAAGCAAAGGCAATTTTTGGCATAGTTTTTATGTTGCTTTTTTTTTCTGTGTTTTTAAATTTCAAAAACTTTGGTTAGACTCAAAATATCTTTGAATTTTTAAATGAACTTTATTAGAATTTCAAAATAGTAGCGTTTTTTTTTCATTAGCTATTCTTCAATCATTGGAACTTTAAATTTTGATATGAAATTAAGAAATCTTTAAATACTTTGTATGAGTATTTCGTGATATGAAAAAGAAAGAAAAACTTGAATTATGTGGTAGTAAATCTTTTTGAACAAAGTTAAAAATAATGAACTATAGGTAGGAATGGTTAGTGTTCTGTTAGTTAATTTGAAAGAAAAGACACTATTGAAAAAATAACAATGCGACACTACCATTATTGCATGGACTATGAACTTTTAGCAATAAGAAGTAATATTGTAGTTATAAAACAAAATTATTTGAGGGAGGCTGAGAATAAGGTACGGCACGGTACGGTGGCATAATGTAATAATTTCAATTTGACTCTTTGATTCTCTATTTGTTTATTTTAAAATTTTATTAATACTTTTCTAAAGTTACTTAAATTTTCAAAATCGCTGGATGTTTTTCCAAAAAACATTTAATTTTGTATCCATTTTCATTTATAAATATGTAAATTTGTAAATTTCTAGCTCATATTCACAAACCCTACAACCCGTAGTTTTTTGCAGAATAGTCCAAATTGAATTAATTTTTTCTGGTTTGCAGATTTGAATTACAAGACGAGCTCAAATATTATAATATCTCGATTTTATGGTTTAGTATAAGTAGCCTTATTGTCACATGAACAGTATTTTGAGACAAGCATTCAAATTCATGCACGTAATCTAACTAATAAAAAATTGCTTTCCTTTACCGGAATTAACGCGATTATACTCCCCAATATTTCACTTTTTCGTACACACAAATTCGTGTTTTTGTCCAAATATAATAAATAACTAAAAGGAAATCTTAAGCAAAAATAAAACTAAATTAGATTTACTTGTTCTACAAGTACCGGATACAATTCTTAAATTCCTTCCTATTTTTCTTCATGTCAGTCACAAATAGGTACTTCAAGCAGCAGCAATTAATTAAATAATTTCCATATAGGAGCAGTAGTTTCCCCCCTTTAAACTGCACTTCTGCTCATATACAAATTACTCCACCAGCTTTTTCTTAATTTGAAAAAAATTATTCAATAAAATTTTTATTCGATAATAAAAAATATATTGTGGTCATTCGGATTGAGAGCAAAGTTCATTTTTTGTATATAATAGCAACCCAATAAACTGAAACACAAAATTTAACATTTTATAAATGACACGCCGGACAGATCATGTTACAAATAAGTAGGTACGTAGCTATAAAAAAAAAATAAAAATTATTTTTCTTACTCAAATCATTTCAGCACTCAATTTAATGGCACACTTTCTGCAGACTTAATTTGACTCTTTTCATTTTTCTATCTTGAAATCTTTATAGCCCGTTTTGCTTTTTATACACTACAAATAATTTAAGAGTAAAATTAAAATCACCTTTTTTTTTTGCTTCTTCTTTGTACAAATCATTTTGTTTGCGTGTTGAAATTTGTTTAAAAACTAAAAGTTATATTTCATTTCATAAAAAAAATGGCAAATAAAATAAAGAAAATGAAAACCTATGTAAATGAATCGCGAAATTTTGCACGGAAAACCAAAAAAAAAACCATGTAAACCTCACTTTTATTGCATAAAAATCTCAACCAAAAAACAAAAAAAAAACCAAGTATTGCAAATAATAAAGAGTAGCTAAAAACCAATTGTACAATAATTACATTTTGCAAGATGATGAATTGTTAAGTCATGTGGGCAAAAGAAAAAAAAACAGCAAAAGAGCAGTAAAAAAGCAGCAAAAGAAAATAAGAAACGTGAAGCAAAAAGCTGAAAATTCACTTTAAAAATATCACGAATGTTATAAAAGCGAGAAAGTGAAATTTAGTATTTTTTCTTATAGTCAAAAAAAGTATAGAGTAAAATATAAGAAATGGTATCATATGATTTGTATAAACACACCTAATACATACATACACATACATATTTAATATTCATATTCAAATAAACCGATGTAATAATGGTGTAGGTCTGTCTGGTTTTCTTTGTACAATATAATAACAATAATAATTCGTGATTTAAGCGAAAAAAACTTACCACACATACCTATATAATTAAGTATAGTGATAGTTCACTAATAAAAGTGTACCGTACAGGCACAATGCAGTTAATTTAACAGTTATTTTTTAATTGTATTTGAAGAAAAAACAAAACAAATTATTAACCAGTTTTAAATTTCTCATGCTCACAAAAAATATAGTGAGTAACATAGTAATGGTTTATTAAAATAGCACATTTTTACCGGGAAAAAAAAAAATTTTTTTTTCACTCCTAGTGAGGAGCATAGGGCCCTAGTTTCATTGCGTCATAGAGTTTTAACTAGGTAGGTGACTAGCCTGCCCTAGTTTTTTCTTTTCGTATTAAATATTTAAGTTTATTAAATAAAATTAGAAAACCATATATTGTTGCATACTTTTAGGGAACAAAATTTGAATAATGTGTTTAACATAATCACTATGTGATAGAAATATTTATTTTAAAAGTTTCAAAAACTTTATTATAGACGCGAATCATTCACATGAATTGCTTTGTGTTTAAAATACCAATGTCGAACTTTTTACGATGTGTTATCATCATCATTCAATACTCAGAATATGTCCCATTTCCCAACGA